TGCCTACCATCTATCCTTCAAATCAGACTCCTCCATGAAGATGGGGGGAGGGAGACAGAGGATTTGAATGGCATGGTAGGCTGCAGTTTGGATCTGGAAGGCCTCCCACCAAAGGCTTATGTGCTAAAGGCTGGGACTCCTGGGAAGTCTTCATGCCATTGGGGAAATGCCTTAAAGGAGACTGTGAGGATCAGGACCCTCTTTCTCTATCCAGCCGTGAAATGAGTTGGTTTGCTCTGCTGTACGCTCCTGCTCGTGTTTGTCCCCAAGTAATGGCTCTGACGGGAACCTCCAAAACAAGGAGCCAAAATAAACCTTTTCTCTTTAAACGCTGATTATCTCTGGTATTTGCTAAAGCTATGGAAAGCTAACACAACCCATTCAATGAAAGCTCATTACTGGAATATGAGAGGAACTTTCGTCACAAAGCAGTTCCAGAACGTTCCCAACTGTGGGCTGCGTGAGCAATGGGTTGGAGAGCTGCAATGCCTGGGGCAGAGGAGTAAGACTTTCCTGCATGGTCTCCTGGAGCAGACCTGGATAAGAGTCTGGCGCGGAGCAGTGTGCCCTGAAGTGACTGCACCCCACGGTAGACACGAGCACCCCACAGCTGCAGTGCTTTACAGGGGATGGCTTGCCAATGGGGGCGTTCGCCTCCACCTGGGTCTTAGGAGTTGGGGAGATTGTTCCTCGCCTCTGTTCTGATAGGCCTAAGTCCTGTGGACCTCCCCTTTAGTTAGCACCTCTCTCAGCATGTCTGCTGAAGCTGTCATGGGTAGGCAGCTGTTGTCTCCTAGAACAGTGAGGTTATGATTTAGGAATAGCTGTGGTCCAGTCTTCCTAACACTTGACACTGTACTCATTCACTAGGTTTAATGAGGGACAAATTCCTTGCCTGTTGGCACTCTGAAGTCCAGGTCAGGAGATGGAGAATCCATAAGGCGGCCTAGGGAACTCACTTCCCAGGACAACCACAACTGCAGGCAAGCTCAACCCCAGGCTAGCCAGAGCCCTTGGTATAGAGAACATTATGATCAAGGAAGAGCCTTCCACCTCCTCCAAAATCTATAAGTTTCTAGGAAGAGTGGGAGGTGGAAAGGATAAGTAAAAGAAGGAAAGAGCAAAGCAGAAAAAAAAATTAAAAATAAAAGCCTGAACAGAACTTAATAACTTGGGAGTACGCAGTGATCAGCGCCTGGCAGCACACAAAAGCCAAAAGGCAGGTCCCAGGATGGGTCAACTTCAGACTTAATATTTGCCCTTTACTAAGCAAACTAATAAATCCCCTATGGCTTTAACCATGCAGAGTTCCCCATTTTTATTTATTGGTCAAAATGACAGGCAGTCTTTTTTTTTTCCTTGCCTTGCTTTGCAGTCGCTCAGAAGCTCAGAAGTAAACAGCCCCTGTTGGCCATCACCAGCTGTGTGTCTATTTGCCTTTTCCTTCAACAAACTCATGCTCAGTGCAACTGACAACATGTGCAAACATCTTTGAAGTATTCTTTGGTGATGGACATCCCTGGGATGGAACAGCCCTAAGTCCTACTTGTACAGCTGAAGGGACAATGAGCTACCTAGCAGGAAACAGACACTAGCCAGGGCAAGCATGATGACAAACTTGACACACAGTTAACTTCTTTGCTCTCCTGCTCCATTGCACGTATGGGAAAACTGAGATTTGGGGCAAGGATTGAATGATTGACACATGAGCTTTGGCTAGTTGAAGCAAAGGACCAGATGCCAGGTCTCCAGATCACTCTACAACCTACCACAAGCAAGTTCAAGGAGCTCTTTAGGCTTCTCAGCTTCCCACAAGTTTAACACCTAAGGGTCTTATCCAGGGTCAGTGGTAATTTCCATACCTCCTTTTGTCCTTCAACTTGCAGCCTCCTGAACAGGAGGACAAGTTTCACCATAAGACTATCTTCCCGTCTCTAATAATTCCACACTTGTGTCTCCACAGAAAGATCCCAGGGTCCACTTGAGGACCAGAGTGTTCCTGTGGGTCAGAGTGAAGTTCAAATACCCTGTAAGATCCCAACAGTATGGAGCGAATTTGGAATTTAGTTATGATTTCGATAACAGGCAGGTTGAGAGTGGTCAGCATGTGGATCAGGTGATTTCCATTGTCCCCTAAACATGTGCTAATGGGCCCTTCCACCATGGAAAATACAGCAGATATTTAAGAAATCAGTTCCTAGAAAACAGGTAGCTTCAAATAGGACAGCAATGTGGATATCCTTGAGAGATGGTCCTGTGCCTAGCCCTGCCATGTCAAATACAAGGAGCTAAAACGAGGGGCTTGCTGACATCAAAAATCTCAGTTCTCACATTTCCCTGCTCTGTGAATTTCATTTTTCTAACTAGCACACATATGCTAGTGGGATCCAGACACAAGAGCCTAAGTAGGGGAGAAGGCAACATACATTAGCTCAAAATCTCATTAGGGAATTGTCGATCATGGCTACGTGGGACAGCCTCTGAAGTGCTCTACTTCTCACTGTCAGGGTTCTCACTGTTCAGCCCTCCCTCACAGCTCCCTCTTGACAAGGGCTGCCTCCCCAGGTCTGGATGATATATGGTCAGATTCCTATGTGAGGTTGATCAATCCAGAAGACTGTGATGAGTTAAACTACTTCAGCTGATGGGATCCTGGGAGTCTATGTGGATGAGAAGAGAGTGGGAGACGGCTGCCTCTGTCTCACTAGGGCCAAAGGATGACTATGGCGTACATACGAAGGGGCAGGAAAAACATGTTCATCTTTAACTGAATGTTAACTGTGTATGTGTCCATATGTGCATGAATACACACGAGTGCACATGCATGTACAAGCAGAGACCAAAAGATAACCTCAGGTGTTGTTCCTCAGGAGTTACCTGTCTTGATTCTTTTTTAAGATTTATTTTACTTTTATTTGTGCATGTGTGTGTGTGTCTGTATTTGTAGGTATGTGCAGGTGCCTACAGAGGTCAGAAGAGAATGCCAGATCCCCGGAACCCAGAGTTCCAGGAGCTGTGAGTAGCTTAATGCAGGAGCTGGAAACTGAACTCTGCTTCTCTGCAAGAGCAGTAAGCACTCTTAACCACCAAGCCATCTCTCCAGTTCCCCGTTTTGTGAGACAGGGTCTCTCATTGGTCCTGAACTTGCCAGGTAAGTAAACCCCAGGAATCGGTTTCCCAAGCACTGGGCTTATAAGTATACACTACCACACACTGGTCCGCAAGCACTGTCTTGACTGAGCCATCTCCCCAATCCCATATTCATCTTTTTAAAGATGGCAGCATCCAAAGAAAAGGACGCAGGCTGAAAGGATGCAGTCTAGCATTCTTCCCATCGCGTGGGGGTTCTCAAGAATAAACGCCCAAATCCCTGGATTCCTGGATGTTCCTCACTCCCCTAGTGTGTAATTACCTCCCTGCGGCTGTGCAACTCAAGATGAGCAGGATTAGTGGGAGGCCCACGCTCCAGCACCATGGACCCTCGCGCCTAGCTTTCAGCAGAAAGATGGAGGCTGAATCCCTTGACAGGCAGCAACAACTTCAGGTGCCAGGTGATCCCGAAAACTTGGCTTGTCTAAGCTGCAGAGGAACCTGTAATTTACCTTTCAATTGTTCTTACTTGTCATGAACACCCCAAATTGGATTGGCACGACTCCACCCTTCCCCACCTCCTTAAAGTTCCACCCACTCCCTGGTGCTGGATTGAGCCAGTGACTGAGAAGGTTAACAGTGAGCTGGGAGGTCCCACTTGACACTTTCTGAGTTGAACCCAAAGGTTATCAGGGAGGACTGTAGAAAGAAAGTACACACTTATCCCCAGTCGACATGCTCTTGATATTTTAAATAAATGCTAGAGTTCAAAGGACTTTCAGGAAGTCTCCTAGCCAAGTCCCTTGCTTTCCAGACATCGTCCCTAAGATTTCAGCTCTTTGTCTCTGTCTAGCAAAGATGTAAATTTTTGATCTTTGTTTATTCTACATAGCATGTGTTTGCACAGGTGCTGCACACACATACACACGTGTGAACCTGAGTATGGCACAGTGCATCCTGTGCTATCCTGGTGGCTGTGGGCTTGCTTCTTCAAGGGCAACTTCATTTTTAATAAAAGGGAAGTGTAACCTATATAGGAATATTCCAGAGCAGTGTCTGGTACTTTGGAATTCTGCCATGTCCATTGTTCACAACACTCCTCAGATGGACACCGTCTCAAGGGACCTATCACACCTAAGATCATTTTCAGTACAAGGCAGGCCTACCATTCTACAAATAACAGGTTTGCTAAGGATGGGGCAGCTGATCCCATCTATCTGTAAGCCTACAGGAAGGCCTGCACAGCTCTGAATGTGGAATGGCCAAGCTATCATGAGCCTTTTCTCTACGGTCACTGGATCACTCAGTAGGATGACCAGTTGTGAAAGTTTTCTCAAGTCTGTCCCAGATTTAGCTCCCCCAAATCTTCTGTCCCAAGAAATCCCTTGTCCTGGGCAGGCTGGGATGACTGGGTCTCCCCAGCTCCCACAGAAAGTAGAATGTGGGCGTTAGGGACATTGTTTCCTACTGCATAGGGAGGGGCCTGAAGGTCTACTGTCCCTGGCATCCCTGTCGCCATTAAATACATGGTCTAAATATGGTATTCCACAGCAGGCTGCCTGGGCAGCCCCTCCAACCATTTCTATTGTTGTATCCACTGTTACTTTAGAAAAGATGATATTTAGAGATGACAGGAGTTGGCCATCATTCCTTAAAACCTGAAGAAATTCCTGAGGCTGCCCGTGTGTGTGTGTGTGTGTGTGTGTGTGTGTGTGTGTGTGTGTGTGTGTGTATTAGGAAAGAAGGAAGTGGGAGAGGGAGGGAGACAGGGGAATGTCTGTAAGTCTTCTTAAGATTTCAGCCACATTAAACGTCATCAGGAGGTCTCCTCAACTCCAACACAGAGACTCTAAAAAGCTAAAGTCAATATCCCATCACTGAACAGCCATACAAATATATCAACTACAACATGAAGAAGCTCGGATTGTTTTATTTATAAACAAACTGTCCATCCATTTTGTAAACAAACAAACAAACAAACAAAAAAGCTCAAATGTCTTCGAGTGCACAGTCAAGAAGGTGGAATCATGATGTCATTAGGATGGATTTCCAACTGCACAAGTGGAGGTCGTAGCTCTGGACCTCTGGACAGCTGCCTGTGTCATCAGGGAAAGGGGTTCTCAGTAGGCACAACCAATGGAGCTGACTGCTCAGCCATGAAGCACCTGGAGAAGCTGATCCCTGACTGCAGCCTTTGCGAGTCTTCACGGCTCACTGCATTTTTTTTCACAGAGGATGGAATGAGTGATGGGCTCATCTCTGCCTATCCAGATGCACACCAGCCTATGATGCAAGCAATACAAGGGGACCACGGCAAATGGCAGCCCTACTCAGGCCTCTCCTCTTGCTCGGACCTCCAAGAGACCACAGAACCTCGGGCAGATCTTGTGTCACTCTGGAGTCAGGCTGTGTACCATGTGCAGACAGTTGACCTCCTTACAAGGAACAGAAATAAAAAATCAAGATGCTATTCAACTTAAAAGTAGTTAACTGTTCACTCTGTATCCGGCTCAAAGATAATAGAGCAAATAAGAAGATTCCCTGGGTCCAAAGGCACGGTGGGCACAGGGGGTAGTGTCAGGTAGGGAAGAGTGTGGCACCTGGGACAGGGACTGAGTGGGGAAGAGTGTCCTGGGTAGTGGCAGCAGGAGGCTTGTTTTCTATAAGACAGTTGATGAGCTGCGATGGTGAGCCTTCCCCATGTCCAGAGATGTGTGTCTTTGTTCATTCGAGTCAACACAGACTACTCCTTCCCAAATGTCTCCCCGGTCTAGAAGTTTCTATATTCTCCAAATAACATTCCTCAATTGAATCCAGGGCTTTTGCCTCTCAAGAGGGAGTCTGATCTCAGCCCAGTCCTGAAAGGAGGACCAGGGACACATTTTCCAGAGTTCCACAGAGCTTCCAGTGAGCAGCATGGGCCATCAGGAACAGGCCTTGGTCAGCCTCCTTCTACGCCTGTGGACCAAAAGACAGCAAGAGTTAGATGGCAGTATCCGCTCCTTTCACAGTACTGCAATCTCTCGACTTTATTCCACTGGGCTCTAGTTGGCGCTGCCTGAAGTCAGGACGTAGTGGTTTAGTCAAGGAGCAGGAGAAAGAGAGGCTTAAGCCTGGCTCTGGGGATCTCCTTGCACACTGTGGCATCCCCCAAAAGCCTTTCACATACATGCTAGTGCCACATCCAGACCTGTTCACACATACATATGCCAATGTCCCCACAACAACAGACTCTGGTTCTCCATAAAATGCTCACAAAGACTCCATGCATCTAGCCTGTAGAAAAACTGACTCAGAAGAGGACAGGAACTTCACAAGGAGAGCAACAGAATCAGAAAATTTGAACACAGGGGTCTTCCCAGAGACTCATACTCCAACCAAGTACCATGCATGGAGATAACCTAGAACCCCTGCACAGATGTAGCACATGGCAGTTTAGTGTCCAAGTGGGTTACATAGTAATGGGAAGAGGGACTGCCTCTGACATGAACTGGATTGGCCTGCTCTTTGATCACCTCCCCCTTAGGGGAGAGCAGCCTTACCAGGCCACAAAAGATGACAATGCAACCACTCCTGATGAAACCTGATTGACTAGGATCAGAAGGAAGGAAAGCAAGACCTCCCCTATCAGTGGACTTGGGGAGGGGCATGCGTGAAGAAGGGGGAGGGAAGGTGGGATTGGGAGGGGAGGATGGAGGGGCTTATGGGGGGATACAAAGCAAATAAAGTATAATTTAAAAAAAAAGAGAGAGATAAAGGTCCCCCAGGGGACAGCACAGAACACCTGGAGCATTTCTCCTCCCACTCTGAGGGCCAATAGGCAAGGTCAGCTTCTCACAGCTCCTTCCCACTCCCCATCATCTACACTACTGAGGAACAAATCACAAAGTCCCCCAGGGGAGTAGCCCACTTTAGCGCTGACTGGGTCCAGCTACTGGGATATGGTGCTGACCTACAAAAGGGGGCTGTTTTACAGGTCTCAGACTCAGCAGCCATCATCAACCTAAGATGGGAAATGTGGGCAGGTCATCCGTAAGTACCCTGTGGACAGAGGTGCTCAGATCCAAAAATGAACCAGTCAGGTAAGTACCATCCTCCCTGTAGGCCATGGCAGGACAGGCGGCATCTCATGGTCAAGGCCTCCCTGGACAAGCAAAAGCCAGGACATTGACATCCAATGTAGTGAGGACTGGGTTCTAGAAGCTCAGCCAGGGTGAAATGTGTCCTCTGCAGAGGGGAGCAGCCACCATGACTCCCAGTGATAAGTGGAATGATGGGAATAGGGCCTGGGGCTGGCTGACGAGAAGAGGCCTGAAGACACGTCTCTGAGGAAGTGCTGGGGACAATCTCAACTGAAGAATCACAAATGAAACAGTGAGTTCCGATCGGTGGCCCCAACTCAAATAGGGACATTTTATCTCAGGGACAGCTCAGAACCTCAACACACTCCTTCACATTTGGACCTAAAAACACACCCAACAAACCCAAAGTTCTTCAACCTCCCTCCACTTTCCATTCTCCTCTCATACCAGGCCTGGGCTGTCTCTTAGAGCCCCACAAGCTTTTTCTCCTGGGAGACAGGCCACGCAGCTGGCGAATTAATTGGCAGTGATGGGGCTTCCTCCCTGTTGCTTGGCAACTACATGCAACTGACAGCAGGGACTGCCATGTGGAATTTACAAAAACAAAATCCAAAGCAAAACACACAAGGCCCCAGACTGTCACCCTCAGAGGGTAGAGCCAGACAAGGGGAGGGTGTGGGTGGTAGGTGGGAAGTGGGGCTAGGGCATGAGAAAGTTCTCCCCCGCCCTCAGCCTTCACCCGTCAGCCTGGAGAAAGGGCAACAGAGAGGCACAGGGATTGAGGAAGAAGCTGGGGGACTGAAAGGTTACGAGGAACGGCAGTCAAGGTTGGTGAAGATGACAGTATCTGCTGGGAATGCTTCTGATGACATTGCTCTACGGCCACTCTACCACCGTGACACAGTCACATCCAAGGCAGAACCCCCTCCCCTGACCCTTTGTGCCGGACTGTCTTTCTATCGGTTGTAACGACAGAGAAGACAAGCCGTCCAACACACGGCCTTGTCTTGGCCCTCATCTCCAGCCTCTTTTATTTATTCGTTTTCATTGTTTTGAGTCTCCTGCTCTGTAGTACAGGCTAGCCTTGAATTTAAGGTGATCTTCTTAAACTTAAGGTGATCTTCAGAGATTTAAGGTCTCTTCTTTCTGAGTGCTGGGATTACAAGCATGAGTTGCCAGGCCTGGCTTTTGGCCTCTTTAAAAACTGAATGACAGATAAGCACTTAAAGAAATGTTCAACATCCTTAGTCATCAGGGAAATGCAAATCAAAATGACTCTGAGATTCTATCTTACACCCAACAGAACAGCTAAGATCACAAACTCAGGTGACAGCATATGCTGGCAAGGATGAGAAGCAAAAGGAATACTCTTCAATTGCTGGTTGCAAACTTGTAGAACCGCTGTGGAAATCAATCTGGAGGTTTCTCAGAAAATTGGGACTAGATCTACCTCAAGACCCAGCTATATCACTTCTGTGCATATACCCAAAAGATGCTCCACCATTCCACAAGGACACTAGCTCACCTACATTCATAGCAGCTTTATTCGTAACAGCCAGAAACTGGAAACAACCTAGATGTACTTGAACCAAAGAATGGATAAGAAAAATATGGTACATTTACACACTGGAATAACTCTGCTATTAAACTCTGCTATTAAAAACAAAGACATCATGCAATTTGTAGGCAAATGGATAAAACTAAAGTAAGGTAAAGCAGACCCAGAGAGATATGCATGGTATGTACTCACTTATATGTGGATGTTAGCCATAAAGTACAGGAGAACCATGATATAATCCATAGACCCAAAGTGTCCAAGAACTGCCTAAGGGAAGATGCTTGAATATCACTCAGAACAGGAAATACAACAGACATCTGAAGTAGATGGAGGGAGGGAACTGGATGGGAGAGGCCATGGGGAAGGTGTGGGGAGAGTAGGAGAGGAGACAAGGGAGGACCAGGAAATAAAACAGAAATCAGTTGGGCGGCATCTCTGGAACAGGGGAGTCTATGAGGGTGACTCTAGCTGAGACTCCAAGCAGCAGGTGTTAAGGAGCATGAAGTTGACACCTCCTGTAGCCAGGTGGGATTCCCAGCAGACGGAGGGGCACACCAGCCCACCCATAAAACTTTGGACCCAAAATGTGTCTTGCCTACGAGAAGTGCAGGGGTGAAAATGGAACAGAGATTACGGGAACGGCCAACCAATGACTGGCCCAACTTGAGACACCAACACGGGCGATAGCAAACCCGTCACTACTACAGACACTCTGCTGTGCTTGCAGGCAGCATAACTGTGTTCTAAGTGGCTTCACCCAGCAGCTGATGGAAACAGATGCAGAGATCCTCGAACAACAGGCTGAGCTCAGGGAGTGCTGTGGAAGAGTGGGAGGAAGGATAGAGGGAGCGAGAGGGGTCAAAGACACCACAAGAAGACCTACAGAGTCAACTAACCTGAGCCCATGGGGGCTCACAGAGACTGAACCACCAACTAGAGAGCATGCATGGGACAGACCTAGGAACACAACACATATGTAGGAGATGTGCTGCTTGGTCAACATGTGGGTCCCCTAACAATGGGAGCAGGGGCTGTCCCTGACTCTGTTGCTGCCACTGGATCCCTTTCCCCTAGCTGGGCTGCCTTCTCAGGTTCAGTCCTCAGCATCACCACCTATGGCCACAAACAGACACAGGGTAGAGAGGTGAGGGAACAGAACGGAGAGCCTGGCAGGCTCAAGTAGGGGGTCCTGGGGACAGGGGACAGTGAAGACAATGGTGCCTTCCTGGGAGTTTCTAGGAGCAATCAGTACTGTAGACACCTTCACTTCACGGCATTAAAACTGGCCTCAGACTGCACTGTGTGTGTCCACACTTCCACAGAGACATTTCCAGCCATACAGTGATAGAGCCTGGGGCTTCAAATACGCCAGGCAAGCCTTACCCCATACGCCAGGCAAGCCTTACCCCAACCTCCAGACCCAATCTCCACCTCCAAAGATTTTCCAAAGGGGGCGTCAGAGCAAGGACACAGGTAACAGCTAGTGATAAGCAGAGACAAGCTTATCACTAGCAGCAGGATTTAGCCTTAGAAGGGACTTGCCAACATCCTGCAAGCTTAGTTAGAAAAAGACAGGGCCTCTGAGAGCAACTGAGGCAAGAAGGAAGCCTGAGCTATGAAGCAGGCTGTTAAATGACAAGATTTGCTCCCGGGGACTTGGGCAGGTGCTTAATCTCTGAGAGAGAAAGAGAGAGAGAGAGAGCCTTAGTTTCATCATTTACAAAATAATATTATCATCTACCTTACAAAGGTCTTGGCATTAAATGAGATAATACATGGGAACCACCTGGCGAATGGCAAATGCCAAAGGAGTGACGATGCTTAGGAAAGTTCCACCTTTCAGACGTGAGCCGAAGCTGCTTCTCCTTGCCCACCCCAGGATCTATATCTATCCCGCCCCTTTCTATTTGTTAATATAACTCTGTTTGGGTTTTTTTTTTCTGGTGTGATGGAGTTTGGCACAGCTCTGTAAGAGTTGACCAGTGAGATTCAAGTGAAGTTCTTGGAGTAGTTCAGGGCAGATGCTCTAAAGGAGCCTGAAGCCTGTCAATGTTCATTTCATTGTTTTAACTAGGACAGGGTGGCTGGTACTCCAGCGGCCATATTGGTCTAGAGAAGTTCATGACCTCTGATGAGAAGAAGAAGGAAACAGGGGGTGGGTGCTGGGCTGGGCTCTGGCTGCTCCCTGATGCTTCACTGGCATGGGATGGTTTTCTTCATGAAGTCTGTCCTATAAGAGAAAGGCTTTTTCTTCTGTCTTAGTTCTCTGTTGTGGCATTTTCTATAACCACAGTGGATTTCTCCATCCATAGACTTGG